AACCTTCCTTCCGAGGAGTGGCTGGTGGGTTTGAACCGCCAGCCTTCTGGTTAGCAGTCAAGTGCTTTAGCCACTATGCTACCAGAGCTCCTTTCCGAGGTGGTATCACTATGGAAATAGATTGCCCAACCTTCCTTCCGAGGAGTGGTTCGTGGGTTTGAACCGCCAGCCTTCTGGTTAGTCAAGCACTTTGGGCACTATGCTACCAGAGCTCCTTCGGTAACCTTAGGCAGTTTATTTAACTTCTCTGTGCCTTCTTTTTCTCACTTATAAAATGGGGATAGTAATAGTACCTCATAGGTCCTCTATGTACTAAATATTGCATGGGACATATTTCTGGGGAAAAAAAACACTCATATGACATTCAAAGTTCACTGAGCATCCTGTATTTATCTATTTATTTAGCTGAATATGGTCCCCTTACATAGTCACTATTACAACTCACACTCACTCATCAAAACCCTTGAGGCCAGTTATGTCTAAGAGCTCATGGTTTTTCAGATTTTAGAAAAGTAACACGATACACATACCCCAGGGTCCATAACACTGCCAGCAACATCTAGTATGTCTGAAACAAGCACATTAGTATGTCTACAGAGAAATAGATGAATATTCTCACAGGTGGAATAAGGAGTCTAAAACAGCGTGACACAACTCAAGATCAGATATTCCCAATAAATGAACTGAGTGTCAGGTCAGGTCTTGCCACTAAGAGTTACAATGGTTTGGGGTTAAGAATCAAGCATTGGGATTAAATGGGCTGGGAGTACTACTACTACCACTATTGTTTTATTTCCTTTTCACAACTAGTATGAGAAATAAAAACTGTTATTCCCATTTCATAAATGTGGAAACGGAGTTCTAGAGTGGTTATGTAATCTGCCCAGGTGGTTGCTTGTAAGTAGCCAAGATCGAAATCTGCCTGTCTGCCCATATTCATAACCCTTAACAAGTCCTTTCTGGGTTTCTTTGTAGTCTTTCTCCAGCTCTTATTTTGAAAGAGGAATTAGGATAGAAAGAAATGGAGAAGAGGCAGCACCTCAGAAACGGTTGGCACGTGCTCAGAAATAATCCCTAGGAGATACAAATACTTCTATCTTCTGTACTTTTTGCAAACTTCCTCCCCATCCTAGAGGTACGCCTATGCCGCATGCCCACGTACCCACGCCACACACACGCACGCAGCTTCCTATTTAAAGCCTTCCCTTGGCCACACTTCTGGTGATGCTCACTCAGCAGCTGTTCTACAGACCTCGGCATTCTGAGACTCATGTTACGTAAAAGAGGAATGTGCTGAATCTTGGTGAGCATTTCATGACAGAAATAGCAAGATCAATATTTTTTCCAACATTAGAAAGCCAGTCACCACTGGAAAAATTAAAACCAGGACAGCCGGGCAAAACACACTAGCTGGCAGGAGGGGACGTTATCAAATGTCATTCTGTAAGTTTTACTCTTGCATTGTTATGATTTGTAATAAAGAAACAAAACTCACGAAATAAGTAGCATAAAAAGAGTTCTCAAAACTCAAATTGTGAGATCAAAAGTTTCAATTTTACATATCTGCAAGAATCCAACAACAAAAACACAGGGTGATAGAAAGTCTAAAATCAGTTGTCTGGTAACCCTACCTGGTACCTGCACCATACTCTACCCTCTCTCCACTGGAGAAAACTCTTGCATTGTTATGACAAGAGAATAAGAGAGGACAAGGCCCAGAAAGAGCTGGCATGACCCCATGGCACCAAGGAAATGATGGAGAGGTAGTAACATGACATAGAGCCTGACAGCTCAGACCCAAGAGACAGATGTGGACTTGAAGCCCAGCTCAGACACTAACTCAAGACGTGCCCCTGGGCATGTTATTTAGTCTCTGGACACCCTTTCCTCTGCTGTAAATGGGGCTGGTGATACCACTGACTTCACAATGTTCTTATGAAGATTTTATGAGAGGACACACATAAGTAACTGAATGCACTGTCCAGTTTAAAAAAAGGTCATCACTTAAGAATGGAACAAAAATCTCTAATAATGTAATTATTGAACCCATGACTTTTGTATAGGCCTCAGGGTTTAGAAGCTCCTTCCCATCCCAATCAGTGGCCACCCAACCCCAGCCAACAATTTAAGCATCTCACTGTTTATCTCCTGCTTGTTCTTACATCCCACATCCAATCCTTTAGCAAGTTCTCTGCCTCCTAAAACCTCCACATTCTCCATCTCTATCACTGAAGTGACTTCCTGCTTGACTAGCTTCCTTCCGTTCTTGCTCTTCTGCACCCAGACTGGCTCCCCGAAGTGTAGCTCTCCACAGAGAGATTTTTGTGAACACTAATAAGATGTCTCTCTCCTACTTAACTCGACAGCACATAACAACAAAAACAACAACAACTCCTCCTCCTTAAAACCCTCCAGAGGGTTTGAGCACACTTAGGCAAAAACAAACTCACTGCACCACTTGGGCTGGCCCTGGGTTCCCCACTGACCTCATCACTTGCACTCTGCCCCTTGCCCATCAAGCTCTTCTCATTCCTCAGGTCTGCCAATTTCATTCCTGTGTAGGACCTTTGCACCTGCTCTTCCCTCCACCTGGAAAGGCCTTTCCCCAATCCTTCTCTCCATTCACAGTCACCTTCAGCATAATTTCCACTGACTTTTCAATTATGCCATCCTTTCACTTGCTATCACATTATTCTGTTTTAATTTTCTGCATAACAAGAACCACTAGCTGATCTTTTTGTGATTCATTTACTGCCTGGTGAGTTTGCGGATTTTTCTTCTTCCCCTGCCTGGTCTTTCTTGTTCCCTATTGTCTTCCCCAGAACTAACTCAGTGCCTGGCATGCAATAAATATTTGGGGAATTCATTCATTCATCTTTTAAGGCTAAGAGGAAAGCAAAAAGGCCATGTGCTTAACTTGTCTTAGAACTTTTCCTTTGGGAAACACATTAGTATCTCTACTCACTTAAAGAATGGGGGTGAGGGGGGAAATGCCTGGGATCTGGGTCCTTAAAATCTAGGCACTGACCCTGATTTATGGGGAAATTTAATAGCTGTGAGAAAACTAAGGCAACATTCATCCTCACCCTGGAGCACCCACTGTGGCCTGCTCACCTCAAGAGAAGTTTCACTTACAATATGGACTAGAAGCCATGTGAAGACCGAAAGGAATTCCAGGTGCTGGTGGAAGCATGGATTTACAAAGGACCTATGCTTTGCAGCAGACGGGGCAGACCCACTGGACACAAAATATAAGAAGACAGTTTAACATAAAGAGGAATTGCTGTCCAGCTTAGGCCAGAGGATGAGGTCGATGGTCTCTGTCTTCAGGTGTAGAAAAACCAGTTTGATTCTCTTGGAATTCAGATTTCTGGGTTCATGGAATTGGGGCAACCCACCCAGGCCATCTGCCCTTAGGTGTCCTTTGTTGTGGTTGTTTTCTATTTTACTGTAGTTTGGGTGAATGTTTACAAAGCTTATCCGTTCTCCGTTCAACAGTTAGTTTTGTGATATTGGTTGCAATGCCCTCACTATAACAGCACTCTTCCCCCTTCTTCCCTGGGTCTCCCGTTTCCACTCATTCTTCTTTCCTGCCCCTTCTTGCCTTCTGAGCTTTCTTTTCCGGGCAAATTCAGCCCGTGTGGTCTCCTACGGTTGATTGTACTGAGGAGTGCATCCCTCCCTGGTGGTATTATTCACTTCATAGGCCTGTCTATTGTTTGGCTGAAAGTTGATCCCTGGAGGTGGGCTCAGTTCCAGACTTGATGAACATCTAA